GTGGTCGCCCTGAGGGTCACAGTGAGCTCCTGAGCTCACAACATTCTGGTTCAGATTAACAGCAGCTTTATTTCACTAGTGTGTAAAATGTGTGTTCCTGTGTAGCCCTGCTCCCTCCCCCTTTGTGCTCCATTGCACACAGTTGCGTCCTTCTACGTCACGTGCCCATCAGCACTGATTTGTAACTGTCGCGCACTGGGCTGTTGTGTTTCAATCAGACAAGAGAGAAAAGTCACTCGTGGGAAAGCGCACTTAGGCTGGTTTCGTGTTTCCCTGTGTAGTTACCTCGCTGATGCTCCTTGTTGCTCCGTGCGGATTATTAAGTAGAAAACGGTTGTAAATCAGGGTTGCAGGAGGCCATGTGGAGCAGACACCAAGGGAGGGGCTGTGGAGTCGCCGGAGCCACGCGACCCCGGCTGGACAGGAGGGCCAGACGCCTTACAGGCTGTCGGCCCCTGGGAGTCGGGAACTCTGCCCTGTAAGCCCTGTTGCTTCGTGTCTCCTAGGTTGAGGCTGCTGGTGGCTCAGCTGTGCTCAGATGGATGGGACAGAGGCCCGACAGCGGAGGCCAGAGGAGCTGGGGCTGCCACACACGCTCAGCACTGGACAACTCCCTGCAGCCTCAGAAGATGGAACTCTGAGTGTACCTGAGGGCCCCAGGGTGGCCCCTAAACCACTGGGGACTGAGCTCAGCAGGGAGACCGCCTTGTCCATTGGCCTTCAGGTGACAGTGCCCTTCGTGTTTGCGGGCCTGGGACTGTCTGGGGCAGGCATCCTTTTGAACTATTTCCAGGTAAGAGGGAACTAAATGGGAATGGCGTAGCTGGGGTCCTGTCCAGTGTCAGGATAGCTGAGAGTAGGCAGCTCCACGCTGTGTCCAGCTTGAGGGCCAAGGGCAGGGTCTCCTCTTCTCAAATACCACTTTTCTGTATTTGGGGCAAGATTCTTTTAGTTTCTAGTGATAGAGACTAAATTTAACTCAGATTAAGCTTTAACAGACAATTTATTGGCTCAAATAATTGAAATATCTAAGGGGTTGGATTTCAGGCATGGCATGATCCAGGTGATTAAATGATATCAAGATACCAGCTCTTTATCTCTCAGCTCTATTTCATTTTCAGGAAGATTCTGTATTTAGAGATGAGGGTGGCCTTTAGCAGTCAATCCTTTGTATGTGTGCTCTTAAGAAAAAAAGAGAGAGAGACCTCTTTGTCAATAACCATGTCAGTCTCCAAAAATTGACCTTGATGTCAAGTGTCCACTCCTATTCCAGTTACTACTCCCTGAGGGATGACACTGTTTGCTTGGCCAACCTGCCCTGTGTTGTCATCACTCTTTGAGGAGTGGCAGAGCCCCTTCATTTACACCCTCCCAGACCCCACAGAGGAGGAGCTGGGTGTTACCGTCAGATAGGAGTGTTATGGTGTACCATACCTTTCTTGTTCTTTCACTGTCAGAGCCCCGCTCCCTTCATCCGCACGATCCTCGGAAGTCCTCCCTGCAAAGGCGTGACACCTGAGTACCTGGAGTCATTGCCGGCCAGGTCGCTCTGTCACTGGCAATGAATGAGAGCAAAGTTTGTCTGGAATGGACGAGCTGGAGACACAGGGCTGGCCTTGGCCTCACTCCTGCTTCAGGGGCTCCGTGCACTGGGGTCTCTAGGCCCGGGAATGTAGGCCCTCCCGTCACTGATTTGGAACCAATCAGGGTTTAAGTCCCAAGCTGCCTCTTTGCTCTAAGGCTGCTTTAAAATTTTTAAAAACCAGCACTTAAAAATCAGGAGATTTCACATAAAAATTCAAATTCCTCTTCTGAAAACCTGGCCACCCTCATGATGTTGGACCCACATCCCCTCATGGCCAGTGTTAGCAGTTGCTGCCCCTCGAGGTGTCCCAGTCCCCACTGCTCCCTCTCGTGTTCCACCCCCAGCTCCATCACCTGCCTGGCCCCACCCTGCCTGGGGTCCTCAGGGACCATCCCCAGTCCCTCGCTGTCCAGGTCCTCACAGCCCTGCTGACCGCCCAGGCGCCTCCTGGCCTCGTCAGGCCCCAGGATGGCGGCTTCTCAAGTCGGAGTCCCTGCCCTGGGCTGACTCAGCCCCATTCCCCTTTTGATCTGTCGGTGACTCAGCCCCAGTCCCCCATTTGATCTGTTGGTGACCCTCCCCAGACCCCTCAGCCTTCTCCTTCCTCCAGTGACCTGCTGCCCTCAGGCTCCACATCCTTCTTTAGCCTGTGGTCAGTCAGCACTGCTGTAGCCTCCAGAGTGCCTCAGGGCCTCATTTCCATGTCCCAGAAGCACCACATCCCCAACACTCCCCAGGGATTCCCTCCTCCCAGCCCCACCTCCACCTGCCGCCCCACCCCACCGCCCTCCTGACTCAGGCTCCCTGCAGCTCACTGTGCCAGTGATTTCCAAAACGCCCGTCTCACTCTGTCCTGTCGGTGTAAAGTCACTCAGTGTGTGTCCCCTGCACACGTGCACACACATACGTGTGTATGTTTAGATGCGTGTTGATTTGTACATGTATATGATACGTATGTGTGTTTACACACACGCACATATATGTGCCCCTAGGACTCCAGAGCGAAGCCAGCTGGCTTTGGGCCTTACCTTCTCTCCTGGTGTCTCCTCTGCATGCTGGAGCAAAAGGCAGAGCTGCCCATGGGGCGGGGCGGGTGCTGCACTGCACCACAAGGGCCGCTGCTGGGTCCTTGTTCTTGTGGACATCCTGTCAGGGGCTGGGCTGGGCTGGGCTCATATGCTAATTGCAACTTAGAAAGATACAGATTGGAAGCGTCAGGTCCAGTGCTTTCACTTGCTGTTGAATTGTCGCTCGCCTACCCGGGGGCGGTGGCACAGCCCAGGCGCATCCGGGAGCCACTCTCCCAGGCCTTCTAATCTCGGTGCATTTCTCCCGGGCCTGTGGGACGAAACCCAAACTCCTGGAACCGGCATCACATGTCCTGACTCGCCCGGTGTCCCAGTTAGGATGGCTTCAGCCGTGTGGTGGGCTAAGCAGGAAGGGACCGTGTCATCTGCCAAACGAGATTCCTAGGAGGGGTGACTCTGCGGCTGGAAAGTGGCCTGGTCACCAGCCAGAGATGCTCTGAGGCCGGGGTCTTCCCACGTCCCGGCTGAGGCAGCCTCTAGGGCCAGCTTCAACTCGGAGCCACGCCGGGTGCTGGGGGAAGGGCAGCCTGTGTTCTGGCCCCTCCTCCAGCACAGGGAGGCTTCGCGGAGAGCCCCAGCTTCTCACTGGCAGGACTTGGGCACGTCCCATGTTGAGACCAAACACCAGTTGAGGACGGAGTGGCCATGGCTGGCTCGCGGTCCGCGGGCGGGCCCTGGGTGGGAAAAGGGGCCTGCAGCTCCTCGGCCTCACCTAGGCCGCCCCTCCCCCACGTTCCTTCCCACCAACCCGGGGAGGCTCCCATGTTGTCCGGAGCCGGTTCTGAGACTCCCCTACCAGCATCTTGCTTCCCGCTGACGGTGCTTCCCCTCCTTGGTCAGGTGAGGCTCCCTGAGCGTAGAGGCTGCGCTTTTTTTTTAATTGAATTTTTTTCTGGAGAAATAAAGCATTCAGGGCCCCAGTTTTGGAAAGGTCCCCACGTGTACGGGGCCCGCCCTGGGCTCTGCTGCTCGGCTCGGCTGGTCAGGTTGTCCCCACCGCATGTGCTTATCTCTATTCACTTGTCCAAAATGTGTTTCTCTTACCCTCTTACCTATGTGATGGTGCAAACTGTTGTGTGCTTTGCTTTTTCACTTCACAGTGTATCTCAGCAATTATTCTTTATAAATGTGTCGAGAGCTGCCTTTTCTTTAACGGCTGTCAGTATCCCATTGGGCAGACATGCCAGAGTTCGTTTAACCACCTCCTCTGGTGTACTTTCAAGTTTTACTCCTGTATTCCTTTGCTTGAGCAGCTGTAACAAAGTAACACAGGTGGGATGGCCGGAACAGCAGGCATGAATTTCTCCAGTCCTGGGGGCTGGGTGTCCGAGGTCAGGATGTGGGCGGCCCCGCGCCTGGCTGTGTCGGCCACTGCCCTCTCCGTGTCCTCACACGGCTGTTCCACTTGCACCGTTGTCTTAGTCTCCTCTTTTACGTCCTCTGGGATGTAGGCCACCGCGTGACTTCTTTAAAGGCCCTACCTCCAGACACAGCCACATTCTGAGGTGCCGGGGGTCAGGGCTTCAGTGTGGAGGGCACAGTCGGTCCTTGACAGCTTAAAGCAGCATCGCTAACACCGCCACGTTCCTCGCCTGCTGAGGGACGGAGTGAGTGGCTGTGTCCGAGGGCACAGGCGTCTGTGACGGATAGACTCAGGCCTGCTTCCGGCTCCCTCCACGTGGTTCATTTCAGCATCTCTGGTCTTCCTCTGCGTCTTGTCTGACACCAGGGACCTGGTCACCCCGAGCTTAGGGCTTAGAGCTCCGTGGTGCCGTGGGCCGGGGTCCGCGCCGCTGGGTGTTGGCTCCAGGCCCCAGGAGGCTGTGGCCTTGGCCCCAGCTCCCCCACAGCGTGAGCAGGAGTCGCCTCCCAGCAGTTGTGGACGGAGGCCTTTCCCCGCTGGCTCAGCCGTTGCGGATTCATCCACGCGTAGGTTGGGGAAGGAGCGGGCCTGCCAGCGGGACGGTCGCAGGGGCAGCATCCTCGCTGGCTGCTGGGCTCAGCTCAGGAGGAGGGTTGAGGGTCAGAGGCCGGGAGCCCCAGGGGCCATCGCTGGGGCCCTGCCGTGACCTCGGGAGTGGGCTCTGCCTTTCCTGGCAGGAGTGAGTGAGGGCGAGGGTCTGGGTGTTTCTGTTACGTCCTTTGCCCGCATTTCTGTGGAGAGGTCATCCCCTTTCTTGTCGATACCTGGGGGCTCTTCGTACATTAGGGAAACTGGCCCTTCCGTTGTGACGTGGGTTGTACGTTTTCCTATTCACCTTTTGAGTTTGCTTTTGGTGGTTTTTGCTGGGCATGTATTTTTTATGTGGTCGGATCAATCCCCTTTCTTCTAAGGCTCCGAGCCCGCGTCCTCCTTGGCAGCAGAAGCCGCCCCTGATGCAACGCCCAGCCCCTGCACAGCCCACGGGCTGCGCTCTCAGGGAGGGAGAGCGCCCCTCGGGCGTGAGGCTGCACTCAGCGGGAGTTCAGGCGGGTGGTCACAGACACTGTGGGTCTGCAGAGGGTCGGAGGCCCCGGGCCCCGTGTGGGTGGGTGGGGGAGGAGGAGGAGGGGGGTCCAGCAGGGGTCAGGCCTGAGTGGCAGCTGGAGAGCAGAAACAAGGGCGGGGACCGAGAGGGAAGGGATCCGGGTTAGCCGGACTGGGCGACGCGGTGGGTGGGCCAGCCTGTCGCCATCACCTCCTCCATCACCCTGGGTGAGGGGTGATCCCCGCCCAGGGTTGTGGGGGTGGCCGGGCGCACAAAGCCCCACACTGGAGAGTTGACACTCACATGTCCTCGAGCCAGGAAAGGACTCTGTTCACCCCACCGGGCCCCCAGGGGCGCGCTGGTCCCGGAGTGAGCCCGTGGGGTTGGGACGCTGCGTGGTCTCAGAGGGGAGGGGCCCTGGTTTCTCCGGAGGGAATAGAGCCCATTGCCCAGGCAGGAGGAGGCGCCGTCCCCACAGCGAGAAGGGCTTCTTGTCCCCGGGCTCGAGGTGGGGCTTGTATGGGGGCAGCCCAGGCCCTGCCCCACCCCCACATACCTCCGCCTCATTCACCCTGGATGCCTGACTCCAGCCTAAAGCCTGGTGGCACCGGGACTTCCCGTGGTGGGTGGGAGCTGCCCCGGCAGGGAGTAG